GTCGATAAAATCGATAATCAGTTGAAAATCTTGTGATTATCGACTTTTATCGACAAATTTAATTTGTCGATTGACAATTATCGACAACTATCGAGTACTATCGACTTATCGACTACGTTTTCGATGATCGACTTTGATCGACATGTTACGTCCTGCTTTTAATAGTCGAAATAAATATTCTACTTTACTGCTTTCCAAATCTTGGAAGACTTAGAATTTAGTTAAGACTTACCATATTCATCATAGACAGCTGGGTCGGATAAGCTTTGCAAGGGAAAGCAACTTTTACGCCATTGATGGTGTACACGAACTGCCCCTCTTCCGTCTCCATGTTTGATCGTGGCCAAGGTTCCCACACATGCAACTGCTGTTTTCTAAACAATGCACGTCCTCTTGGCTAATTGCGAACAAACTATGAATTATTTCGAGATAAACTGATCGCAATTTAGCCAAACTGGACCTTAATCGATCAGAAAACGAAAGCAAAAGTGATCTAGGACAGCCATTTTGGACATGCTGTACTGTTTTTCCCGCTCACCGGCCAAAACAAAATTCGCGTCCAGTTTTTCTCGTTCGTCGCGGGTGAACACACTGGTGAAGATCCCCACGTGGCCCAGGTATCCACCCGAGACCCGATGTGATATACTTACCATATCAATAGTAGAGATCTAATGTGCAGAAACAATATTTTCAACCTACCAATCAGGAATGATCAAACTGATAAGCACTAGAGAACGGAGAAATTTAAACGAGAGACCAGTCCTCCAGTTTTCACAAAACAAATTAAGATAAGACTCACATACTAGTATCTACGGTTCAAATCAGGTTGTCATGAGCTTCTTACGGACTATAAACATTTGGCGGAAGGATTTGACGTGTAGTCGTGATTGCCCTCTTATTATAATTTTTTTTTTTAAGCGATTGACCCGATTGTTGTACAAAGATCGTAAAATGTTGTAGCTTTTTATCTGTGTTCGGGTTCCTGTGCTGCTGCATTAGATGAGGCTACGTTTCCACATATTTTTTGGCCACATCTAATAGGTAGTTCTTCGTATGGTTGTGACTCTTAGAATTTGAGCCTACATGTTTCGTTCTTAACCAGTACTTACTAGATTTGGCACAAGTCGACCTTATGAGTTTCAGGGACGCATTACTCGCATNCACAGAGTTTTCCCATGGGAAGAATTCAGCCGATGACTTTGCTATAAATTCTCGCATAGCTAAGACATCGAAGCGATCTTCGATGTTTTACTAGGCTGCGAAGACAAACAAGACAATGGACTTTTCTGAAAGTCTAGATACTTGCTTCTGCATCAGCTGATGACTGACTCCCGGGGGTGGTACTCTGTAAATCTTTGGGTAGGGGTGAGCCGCTAGAACACTGAAAACCCTTACCCTGCACTAGACCATGATCAGCTTGATTTTGCAGCCCTATTCTAGACTAGCCATCAAAAACCCGTACTCTATCCCAAACTAGCTATTTTGAATGCAAAAACTTTATCACTATCGTATTCCGACATACGTTAAGTAAACGAGTATTTTACAAGCCTCCTTAAAACGTCTTCCGAGTTTCAATTTCTATTATACAACCCTGGGTAAAGAACCCTGTTTTAGACTAAATCATCCACACACTGGCCACTTTTCCGGTAAATCATACCCTATTCTAGACCGAAACTGTCTGATTTCTATACCCTATCCCATACTAAACTGCCTCAAAACCACACCCTTCACATCGGCACATACCCGTATAGCTTATTTATGGGAGTAACCCTCCCCCCCAGGACTGACTGACATATGTTCAATTATCTTTTCACATTGAATGTGTCATGTTAGGATGTTAGTATAGTCAGAATCTGTCAGCATTCGGCAACCAGGTTTCTTGACGTGAACAGGCGGGTGTAAACAAGCCTTTGCACTCTAAGAGTTTTCTTTATTATTTTTTTAAAACATTACAACCTACATAGTCCTGCAGTAAATAGTCCAATTTACCTGTGTCAGTATTTGGGGTGCCATTTGGCAATATATAATATGGATGATAAAGAAAGAAAACTTTCCACGATCAGCTGAGACACTGCCTCTTTCATTCCATCTAGAATATCTTCATTAATATAATAAACCAAAACTAAAACCTATAGAAAACATATGGAACTACTTCAAAAGTGGTTCGTTTTGCAATAAGAAACTATTATTAACTGTGTCATGCTTTAATCTTTAATCTTTAATCTTTAATAAAAATTCCAAATTACATTACATTGAACAAGTCAATCCAATGAATTTGAGGACAGCTTAAAACAGAATACAAGATTCCTTAATATAAGCTGTCTTAGTGTATCATTGTATGATTGTATACCTAGTTAAAAATTACTCTAAACTCATATTATTCTATTACTCTAAACTCATATCAAGTATGCTTATCTGTCACAAACTACTATGAAGCAACCGAGGCTCCCAGGAGCAGTTCAAGCTAAAAAAAAAAAAACTGGGATCTATTGAGTTAAAAAAAATAATCGCTTCTCAAACTCATTAACAATTCATCAAGTTTAAACAAACGAAATCATGACTGTGACAGTGTTTGGATATCTGATCTTAATTAGCATAGATTTTTACAATTTTATTTCTCCATTTTCTCCTTAGATTTAGTTTCGATTGAGAAGATATATCAAACACTCAAGACTGTGAGTTGACCACATTTCCAAAGACCTTGAAGTTTGTCAAAGATAGTCTGCTCTGCATCGTATTTCCAACTCCCTTCTTGGTGTTTGGGAATGTTGTCAAATACGGTCTGTCATGTTTGGTATACTACATTCAAAACAGGTACAAAAAAAGATCATTGGTGTGACATCACTGCTAACATTTCCTCAGAAAACAAACTATTTTCTACCCTATCCCATTCTACAACTCATGAAATCTCTACCTTTTTAATTTATATACCTCCAGCTTGAAAATGTTACAAGTCTTTGACAGAGCCTCCCCATATATTCGTTTTAATAGATCACAGCTTGGATGCTTGCCATATTATCATTGCTCAATAAAATGTTAAGTTTTATAAAGCTTAATTATATTTTGGTGACGACAACCTGATCTGAGCTCAACATAATTTGAGACCTTCAGGGTTTTTTTTTTTTTAACTTATTAGCTATATGGTAAAAGTTAAAAATAGTAGCTAACCCAGGAGTAAATGACTCTTACCAGATCTCGACATCATTTTGACAATGACTAATTGACATCAAAGCAAGAAATTTAAATCCTAAAATGTAAATGGTAATAATTATATAACTTTAAGGTTCATCCTTTGCCAATTCAATGTGGAGCTTCATGTGTTGTCGAATTCTCTCCAGCCTCATTTTGTTGAACTTATTGTCGTAGAAAGGAGCAAAGAAAAATATCTGGAGAACAAAGATAAATCAAACAATTAATATTATATTTGATTAAATAAATAAGAATTTTTAATCTAAGTACATGTAGTATGGTGAACTGTAATATTAAAACTTATTAACATTTCTGTCCAGCTAGCTCTGTGACTACAATGTTCCTTCACTGGATGTATAATATACTAGGGTTAATAGAAATTAAGTTCTCAAGGGACGGGTAGATGGCAAAACATTGCATCTCAAAAGAACTTGAACGAACTTGAAGGCTGTGGAGGACTTGCAAGTGAAAAGGTTGCGGATGCTTGTCATCTCGTTTAGGGGCGTAAATCAGGAATTTTGCACTAACCTAGGATGTTCAGGATGAAATGCCACTATTTTTAGCCATCAAGGTATCGTTTAGGGTTGTACGAAGAGAAATAATAAAAAAAATTGTCAGTTTGTTTCAAAGTGGTATCTTTAGAAGTCAAATAAAGTTTTGACTATGCTCACATAATTTGGATTGACCCCGGGTTTGAAAATGTCTTTGATATGAGAATATTCATTTTAAACTGATTATCACATGATTCATGATCATTTAACTCCTACCATGTTCAGAAGAAAGGCAAATGGAATCATAAGAGGAAGAAGACCAGTAGAAAATGACCTTGCCTGTCAAAAATAAAATATACATTAGTATGAGTTATGTTCTTATTAACATGATAGGAAAGCAAAAATTTATTATATGATGACAAGAACATTATTGATATCAAATGTAATACTCATCTTGGCCCAGACTGAAAATGAATACCCAATAAGTCAAAACCTGACCCCCCAGAGGGGGAGAACTCCCTGAAATGGGCTATATAGGTATGAGCAGCCCCAAAGGGTATAGTTTTTCAACCTTTGTGGTCATAATTAAGTTATTGATTTTGGCCATTTTATTCATAAATAGGGTATGGTTTTTGCACTCAAGTCCTGTTATAACTGGGTATGTTTTTAAGAAGCTACTTTTTGATCATTATCAATAAGACCATCAACAAAACCCCTTTGCTTATTATATTTATGGCGATTTAACATTGGTCTGAACTAGGAAACTAATTATAAGGCAGGTCTGATACAGGGTATTGATTTAAAGGTCATGTCATAAATAGGGTCGTGAAAAATGCAGATTTTGGTCACAAATATAGAGCAAGGGTTTGGGAAGCGATGTGCACACCCCCAACCCAATTTTCTGGGAGTACCCCCCCGGGTCCTGACCCCACCATGAAGCATACATCCATATACCTTTAACATAGCAAAGGCTTTACTTCATTTTATTACTGACCTTTGCAAGCGTTCCCCTTTCTTGGCCTGGTTGAAACTCTATTTCTACAATATCCAGCCACTCATATTCTGTATAGCTAAAAATTTGTACAAAATTTCTACCTGGTCGAACCTGAAAATCAAAATGACAACAATGTAGAATTACAAAAAAGATGTCAAACAATTTTAACTGCAACCTAGTCTTCATCATTCTAAACAGGTTTTACTTATTAGTATGCAGCATGAACCCATGCCAGTAANGGACAGCATGTCACCCGAAAAATTTGTAGGAAGATCGATAGCGTTATCGTTTCCTGATGGCCTTTCTGATGTAGTCAGTCAGCATATTATGGAAAGGGACGACGAGATCTGCTTATGAATTACTATGTTATTACAACCATAAAAAAATTCATTTTTTACCTAACAGTTCACATTTTCCAGCCAGTCGACATGTCTTAAAAAAAAAAAATTGAGATAAAACAAAACAATTTTAACTTTGTGAAGGTAAATTCAAACCTTTAAGTATGAATAATGATTTAGTAGTATGAATAACAATTTAATTCAAACTTTTTCCTCTCAAAATTGATGGAAAAACTTATATCTTAAATCAGTTCATTTACATTTTTATAATTTTACGTTATGTAACAATAGGAAACATTACAAAATGTAAATGTAACATCTAGATATTTTAATTTATATTTTTGACAATTTACTTGAGTCCTCAGTCTCTGTTTGAAAGGTAAACAGTTTACTGAACCTCATGGCTAGCTGACAATACAATGACGAAGTGGAACTAACAGTCAATGGAGAAAAGAGTACTGAAGTACGTATTTGCAAGAGTTAACCTAAAATACATCATTAATAAAGTGATAAGAGTGGGCACGCTGTGTCTGGATTCTTTCTAATATTCTAGCCAGTCAAGCCGAAGATGATTAAATTTATGCAGAGAACTGGCAGAGATAAAGGAAACTTTATAAAAACTGAATTATTATACTCACGTCTCATTTCTGCAGTGTAGATTCCTAATTCCAGGAATCCACATGGCCGGTCTCAGTGCTCCCTGAATTGGGGACTGCCACATAGCACAGAAGCAATCGGCAGAAGACATCTGACCACAAGTTATTTGCAAAATCACACACTCTGCCTTGGGCAAAATTAGATTGTAAGCTTACGTGTCAACACGCAGTATAAACAGTTGGAATTCCACCTAAAACTTCACCAAATATATACGATCCCTGATGAAACTAAGTCCTTTCACAGTTGCACTCCGTTTTAATTTAACAAAAGTGATCAGAACGCTACCAGTTTGTACAAAGCATCAGATTTACGAGCAAACGTTAATTTTCGTGACTTCAGGCAGAAACATCCAGGCGTATTTTGCGGCCGAGCAGCAGGTGGCGTGGTAATTAGTCAAAGAGTTGTCATAGAAACAGACAACTGTTCTTTTTCCGCCATGTTTGAAGTCATAACATTCTCGAACTTAGAACAGTGATTAATTCTCATGTTGTTTTAGAACTTCTCCAGGATTTCCAATTAGAATCTACTCAGGGTGCATTTAGCAAAATGGCTGCAGCAGTAGCATTATCGAAAGAGCCTCTGAACGCCACAGAGATCGAATTTGAAGTGGATGATTTAGGAACGGACGCCGATCAAGAAGGCTTTCTTGCAAGATCAGAGAGCATGTCGCCCGAGCATTTTGAAGGAAGATCGAGAGCGTTATCGGTTTCTGATGTGATCAGTCAACATATTTTGGAAACGGACGGTATGGCGTCTCCAATTTTGAGGGCTTTTACACGAAGCGCGATAAACAGATGGCGAGGCAACGTGGAGAAAAAAATCACCCGTAGGCTGATGGAGGTGAAAGCGGAGCGCAAGAAACGAGATGCTGAATCTAAAGAGCTTTCCCGTCTTGTTGCTAGAACAGTTCCTCTGGATGTTCTAGCTAGAGACTGGCTTAATGACAACGACCTTACCTCGGATGTGAGAGTGTATTTGGTTGAAAATCTTTTACCAACCTTAATTTTGGGAGTTGAGAAACTGTTGACTGAGGTTGAAAAGAGAGATCTGGCGGATTCTGAGGGTTTCTGTCCAGATTTTAATCCCATTGATTACCTGGCACAGTTTCTTATGAGAAATAATCCTAAGTATAGTAACTTTGCGGAAGCTTCACCCTATGCGAAGGGCATCCGCAAAGTAGTGGAAGACCTCAAAAAGGAGGTGTTTTCAATGGAAGACAACAAACTTGTTAAGCTCAAGGCTGATGCCAAGAAAAGGCGTGAAGCAAGAGAAAAAGAGGAGCACCAAAAGAACATGGAAAACCGCCGTCGTTCTATTGCTGTGGAGGAGCAGTTTCCTGAGTGGACTGCTGACTGGAATGGTGTTCTTCCCTTATCAGTTGTAAGTGAATATATCTGTTATCAGTTATGATAAACGCAGTTTACAGAGTTTTCCCATCATGAATCCACAATTCACTATATACAGACTCAAACCTCTCTACAATGGCCACCTTGGAGACAGATGAAAGGGGCCGTTATAGAGAGATGGCTGTGGTGGAGAGGTTATTTTGGTAGTTAAGGACATGCTTAAAATTGGCCATTGCTGTTGTGAAGAGGAGGCCATTGTAGATGGGTTGAAATATAAGTGAATGTATGAACCATCCACCGCAATGAAAAAAAGTGGGCATTGTAGAGAGGTGGCCATTAGTGGAGGTTCAACTGTATGTACATGTAGTAATTATTGTTTCCAGACTTAAAAGGCTTAGACAGGGGGCGGATGGTAGATAAGGGTAAAAGGGGTCTGTTATAGGTTTTGCACCATCAAAAGTTTGTATCCTACAAGTTTGTTCCCAATTAATGTATATAATATCTGCCATCCCACTCCAGCTTGTCATTAGGTGAGTTTTTAGCACTTGGATCAGTGGAAGTTTATAGTTGCCATAAAACTAAAGTGTGAACACATTCTGATTATACACAAACAGTGGATCAGATGTTAAGGGCTGATACAAGGGCATAGACTACAAGTAGTTCTTCTTTCACTTAGTCCATCAAGCTTGATGGTAAAAAACCTCAAGGAAAAAATGGGGGCAAGAAATCGTGGGGACATGAAGCGTGCAAAAGGAGGTTCCCTCCTTTTGCGTGCTTCTGGTCCCCAGATTTTCATTCATGTCACACACAATGGACTAAGCGAAGAGGGACTACTCATAGTCAAACAGGAGCAATTTATGATTGAACTCTCAACTGGCAACCTGTTACATAGACCAGCAAAACTCACCTCTGGCAGATCCCTCTTATTGACTGAGGAAACAAGTTTTTAATGTTAGGAGCAAAGTCATTTGCCACCAAACTTGTAATATCAGGAGTAATCTTCTTTGGTACATTGGAGTGAACTCAAATGCAGTGAACTTTCAATGGTACAATTAACATACAAAAGGGTAAACATAGGGACAAGGATTCCCCACTATATGACTTTGTTTAGCCTCCCCATCCCTGGGTATGCCACAAATACCAGAGTTACATGTAAGAGTTCAACCCTTTTTAGCAGTTGTGAACCACGTCCCTTTTGAAGACTGAGCTACACTGTAACTTTTTAATTTTGCACTGTTACTAAATAGGTTCAAAATGTTCTAAAATCATTTGAAGAAGTTGCTGCAAATCTTCCAGAAGAAATCAGGAAAGGTACTAATTAAATTATAAAAGGGGTGGTGAATAGTGAATGCAAGACTCTGCGGGAAGGTGACACTAGCATTTTTCTTTGTGAGCACAAGATAGTTTGACTTCTTTGATTGTGAGACTGAGACTTTAAAACAGGGGTTTCATTAAGTGTTGGGCATTCAGGGCAAATTGACCTGAACCATGAGAACGATTTTGTCTACCTGGTTTGACCATCTAGAGGAAAGTTTTTCCTGTAAAGAATTTCAGTTCAAAAAGTATTGTCACCTGTTAAAACCTGTTGCCTTCCTGCTGAAGACATTAATGAAATCCCTGCTTCAAAGTGTTTTATATGCAAGCTCACAATGTTCAGGATTCTAAGACGTTCAGAAGTCATTTATAAAAAAAAAATCAATACTTCAGGACTTTCTGAGCTTGCAAAAATTGTGACTGCAAGATGCACATAACCTCTAAAATACAAGATTGTGAGACGCTTGAAATTTGATGAAAATTTTGCAAGACCCATGGTTTTTGAAGGACCATTTGCCACCCCTTATAAAATGTGGCAGTGTTGAATTGATTTTATTGTCACAGTTAATTTTTTTTCAGCATTACCTTGATGTGACACTGTTTACTTATCTTTTATTTATTCATTTTGGCAGGTGCATCCTTTCTTATTCCCCTTGAGCCGACAGATTCTAGTGGTAAAATGGTCAATATGCAGCAATTTAAAGATGTAAGAGATATTATACACATATGACATGTTCATTTAATTATTTGCATCACCTGTAAACATCATAGAATAATCTAAATCCCTTCAATTACTTCAATCAGAATGAAAAACATTGCAATCTATTTACTTTTATTGTGTTTTGTTTATAGTACATTCGTCCTTATGCTGGCAATCTTTCCAAGGAAGCTTTCAATGCCTTTATCGACCACTTAACTCGCTGTGCAGCACATTACAGAGCAGCTACTGTGAAAGAAGCAATGAGGTGAGTTATGTTCAATAGTTATGTTTGTTACCTTTTCAGACCATCACTTAGTTTATCTCAAACTGAAGTGTCCAGAATATGGTTTATTGACCAACTTGATCATTCAAGAAGGCTGGATATTGGCCAAGTTCTTTTTTTGCATGTTTATGGACTAGATGGAGTAGAGGTTCATTAACTCGCAAAAAAAGAATGAGGCCAATATCCAGCCATCTTGACCACACAAGCTTGGTCAATACAGGTTTTATTATATGACTTTCGGGGACATTTTTCTTGTGGGACACAGAGGGTGGTCCTGAGCCAGCAAGATATTGCCATCTTGCCCGCTTGGGTAGCCAATCAAGGGGAGGGAAGTTTGATCATCTTGCCCGCCCATGGAATGTGAAGAGTTTTTAACAGTAGTCTTTTTCCTTGTAGACTTACTCTGAGGAACCTTTTCTTGAGTTGTGACATGAAGAATGTAAGTTGTACAAAAAAAAACTGTGTCTACAATGTACCTGCCTTGATTGTTTATTATTTAATGTTCATCTTTATTAGACTTATACCAAAAACCACAGCCCATTTGATTACCTAGCACAAAACACTCCTGTTTTGCCAGTTTCTGAATCTAATCTTGATCACAATTTTGGATAAGCAGGGCACTGATGAAAATTGCACTTAATACTGCAGTCAGCACTCTCCTCAGCATATGTTTATGTGTATCATTTGTCATTTGGTATGGCCGGAGACAAAGGAGTATGAAGGGGTCCCATCACTAGCCTATGCTCCGCTCCAGCATGAGGTGTTCAATAGGATTGGTTGTAGTAGTTGCCAGTTGGTATATGAAAAGAAGTTGGCAAATGTGTGGCATTTTAAATGATTATGACATGATACATGAACATAACTATTCTTTCTTTTGTTCTTTCCCTTTAGGCTGGCCATGTCGACAGAAAGCGTATTTTGGATATTCTATGTTCATTTTATGATAATGCAGTTGAACCAATGAGGAACTCTCTACGTAATCCAAGAAAGTGTAAGTTTGTCACTCGCCAGTAGTTATTAGGCTACTAAATGTACATTGAATTCTAGAATTTTTCGGTGGACTTCCAATGTTATTCAAATGTCAAAAGGTGATCAACAGTAGTTACAATTACAATATTAATTATCTGTATTTTTGATCCATATTGTTATCCAACTTTGGAAAGTTGGCTGATAATATTTACAGGCATGTTAATGAAGTACTTGCAGTGGATGTAGAGATGTTAACCCAAGCTAACCAACAACTTCTCTGTATTCAGGGCCTGTTTTGGAGATAGAAGAAACCAGTGATGAAGATGAGGAGCTTAACCAGAAACAGGATGCAGGAGCAGGCACAGATGAAGAGCAAAAACCACAAACAGAACAAGCAGAGCCTGATAAAAAACCACTGCAAGAAACAGCCAAAGAACCTGAACAAACATCAGAAGAGCCACAAAGTGAGGAGAGAGAGAAACCAGAAGAAGAAGCTGCAGAGGAAGAAACAGCTCACGAACCAACAGAAGGAGAGGAAATACCTCAAGAAAGTAACAGAGGAGAAGAAGATCAAATTGTTGAAAATGCTGAGGATCAACCTGGAGATGGAGAGGGTGATGGAGAAAAAGAAGGTGAGGTCAACATCAAAAAGTATTCTTAACAAGGGTGCAATGTCAAAGGTAACATTTAGTAACTCAGTCATAGAGATTCAGATTTAATAGCTCAGTCAGGCCAAGAGAACTTTACTAGTCCATCAACAGGGTGCATTTTGTGACTGCACTTGTTTTGTACAAATCAATGACTCGCTTCTGGACCAGAAAATTTTGTTATCAGTTTGGAAGGGCTAGAGCTAAATTGTACTGAATTTGCACCCTTTCTTTGCCCCATAATGATTTTTTCATTCGGTTTGGGGCACTAATAATTTTGCATGACAATTTTAAGTGAAATATTTTACTTGGTTTTGTTTCTGGTTTGAATGCATGTTTTAAGATGAGAAAGCTGGTGATGACGATCAAGGTGAAGTTCAAGATGAAGAAGCTGAGAAAGAAAGAATAAAACAAAAAATAATTGATGATGAAGAAGAAGACAGGAAGTTGTTGGAGTCAATCCCTGATGAAAGTATGTCTGATGTGATCATTATTTTTATGTATATTTTGCTCGTCAATGATTGAGAAAGAATTAGCATTATAAAGCCCTGGTGAAATCTTGAAAAGATCTTTAAGGATCTTTACAGCTCTTTCCGATTACCTGTGGAGGTTCCTATAGTAATTACATTTATTGAGCATCTTAAGGGTCAGGGCTTGGTCGTTTAGGACAAATAGATATGCCTGTCTAGCGAGTAACTTTTCGTGCTCACTTACATGTAGCCTGAAGTGTCAGTCATCTCTAACCCTCAGCTTAGTTGCCGGGGGATTAGGCTGAAGGCGAAACATGATTGACATTTTAGGCTAAGCCCCAGGCAAGCTATCTACCCACTAGATTATGATTTTAATACAACAAAGTAAAGTTGTTCAAGCACTGATAGCGACCCTGAAGGTAAATTTGAGAGCAAGCTTTTTGCAAGAAATTATCCTTTGAGGATTGTGTAATGATTTTTGTCGGCATCTTTGCTAAGCTTGTACCAAGATCTTTGTAAGGTCCTCATCCTGTGCCAAGTGTACAATACCCCAGCAACACATCAGCATCATATGAAAGCAGTATATGATTTGTATTCTTCTCATTGCTATGTCAATTAGTTGATGATCAGATGTCGGATCAAGAAGACACAGAGACATCGGCCAGCACACTACCAAGACCCAAGTCCGTGACTGAAGGATCAGCATTTGATGAAAACTCACTCAACCAGCCACAGTTTATACATCTACTGGAGAAGTTTCTTGGAAGTACTCCAATCAAGTAAGTCCTGAATCTGTGATCGACTTACAGTACACTGTAGAAAGGCGTGCTTCAAATTGAACTGTTGTCAGAGGCGTAAAAGTTGCATGGTGGTTAAACGATGACAACATGAAAAAACGTCCCAGATGGCAATAAATTGTTACATGAAGAGTTCGATAAATTTGAAACTTTGTGCAATAGGGCCGGAGGGGACTTTCACGTTTAAGGCATGTGGTTATTTCTGCCATCGTCATTGCTGAAACCCTTTACTGGGAGTGCTTCTGACCCTGGGGCAAGCCCTGAGAAACCCCTGAGGCAACCCCTGGGGCAACAGATTGCCCCAAGGAATGCAACGCGATAGGTCGTGAACAGTGGTGGTGTTGCAACTAGTTATCACTACATCAATTGTTATAGCTGTCATTTATTATATTGGAACCATTGACTGATGCATATGTGTCACGTAACATGAATCTGATTTAACAAGTGAAGACGACATTTTAATGTTCTGCTTTACGTTTTCAGACAAGTGTTTGATGATCTTGTCCGTTTTGTAAGAGCCGGTTATGTCGAAACAGATGATGAACGAATGGCGAGGATGAACAAGGTGTGTGTATGGTTTAGTTTGTTAGTGTGGCCAGTGTAGGTAGCCATGGCGAGCGGAGCTATAAAGACTGAACATGGTTACCTTTTACAGTTCAACCCCTATTAGATGACCACCCTCGGGGAAATGGATAGTGGCCTCTTAAAGGAGGCTGGCCGTTTGACAGAGGCTCAAACAGTAGAAAAGCCTTCATCGGGACTTTGATTACTGGCCGTCTAATATGGGTAGCCGTTTAATAGGTGGCCACTTAATAGGGGTTCGACCCTACTCTTGTTCATGATCGCCGATGTGATAGCTTACAATGAGAGTGCACTTTGATTTATCATTAAGAAAAGGGAAACGGCCATAACATGCGTATACAGTCGAACCCCTATTAAGTGGCCACCTATTGAACGACCACCCCCATTAAGCGGCCAGTAATCAAAGTCCCGTTGAGGGCTTTTCTATTGTTTGTACCTCTATCAAACGGGAGGCGCGGTGGCCTCATGGTTAGTTCG